TAGACCAAGACTATTGAAGTAAATCCAGAAAGAAAAGCAGGCTGAAATTTGAGTCAACTTTCTATTCGGCGCTTAACAAATTGACACGTAGTACTTAATTGTGTTGTAGGTAATCCCATTCAACATTACAATTAAGAACGGAGAAGAAGAAGATTTGAGTGATCTAATGACAGTGGCGCGGCTAATGTAAATATATTAAGGGTTCACGTTACTGAAAAGTTAAATTTTATTTTGACATGAACTAACAGGCCAAGTGTGTATGTGTGTGTGTGGGGGGGGGGGGGATAGAGGGATTTTAAAAAGTGAAGGATGACTTGGAAACCTGCTACAAGATATACCGGCTTGAAATTACACTATCGTTTGGATAAGTCATCAAATATCTGTCTGGTTTGCTGTTTGGATTACTTTTGGAATTTTTTGGATTTGGTTTCGGTTGTAGTCGGGGATTTGGGTTTTGTTCAGGATGAGAGCTAGAGACTAAGCTATGGTTAGGGTCAAAGCTATGAGCTAAGAGAAAGTTTAAGGTTAGAGTTAGGGCTAACTCTAGGGTTTGCGATAAAAATAAGCTGGGGTAAAGACCGAGGTAGTCGTGTTATAATGAGGGTGAGGGGTTCAAGAATTGCGGGGCACAGCGGGTGACACCATCTGAAGGAGTGACACCATTGGAAGGGGTGACACCATTGGAAGGGGTGACACTATCTGAAGGAGTGACACTATCAGAAAGGGTGACACCATTGAAATGGGTGACACTATCTGAAGGAGTGACACTATCTGAAGGAGTGACACTATTGGAAGGAGTGACACCATTGCAAGGGGTGACACCATCTGAAGGAGTGACACCATTGGAAAGGGTGACACCATTGGAAGTGGTGACACCATCAGATGGGGTGACACCAACAGAAAAAAGTGTTACCCCAATCATTTTCAAAACTGTCTACTGGCTCTCTAAACTATAAGCGAACATTGAAATTAGAACAAAGAAAGAAAAGGCTTGATATCATATATCGGGCTTAAGTCTATAGGACATCTCTAGATCCACCCAGCTCTGATGGATACCATCTCTGATGGGTACAATCTCTACGTCCACCCAGCTCTGATGGGTACCATCTCTGATGGGTACAATCTCTACGTCCACCCAGCTCTGATGGGTACCATCTCTACATCCACCCAGCTCTGATATGTATCATCTCTACATCCACCCAGCTCTGATGGGTACCATCTCTAGATCCACCCAGCTCTGATATGTATCATCTCTACATCCACCCAGCTCTGATGGGTACCATCTCTACATCCACCCAGCTCTGATGGGTACCATCTCTAGATCCACCCAGCTCTGATATGTATCATCTCTACATCCACCCAGCTCTGATGGGTACCATCTCTAGATCCACCCAGCTCTGATATGTATCATCTCTACATCCACCCAGCTCTGATGGGTACCATCTCTAGATCCACCCAGCTCTGATATGTATCATCTCTACATCCACCCAGCTCTGATGGGTACCATCTCTACATCCACCCAGCTCTGATGGGTACCATCTCTAGATCCACCCAGCTCTGATATGTATCATCTCTACATCCACCCAGCTCTGATGGGTACCATCTCTACATCCACCCAGCTCTGATGGGTACCATCTCTGATGGGTACAATCTCTACGTCCACCCAGCTCTGATGGGTACCATCTCTACATCCACCCAGCTCTGATATGTATCATCTCTACATCCACCCAGCTCTGATGGGTACCATCTCTACATCCACCCAGCTCTGATGGGTACCATCTCTACATCCACCCAGCTCTGATGGGTACCATCTCTAGATCCACCCAGCTCTGATGGGTACCATCTCTACATCCACCCAGCTCTGATGGGTACCATCTCTACGTCCACCCAGCTCTGATGGGTACCATCTCTACATCCACCCAGCTCTGATGGGTACCATCTCTAGATCCACCCAGCTCTGATGGGTACCATCTCTACATCCACCCAGCTCTGATGGGTACCATCTCTACGTCCACCCAGCTCTGATGGGTACCATCTCTACATCCACCCAGCTCTGATGGGTACCATCTCTACATCCACCCAGCTCTGATGGGTACCATCTCTACATCCACCCAGCTCTGATGGGTACCATCTCTAGATCCACCCAGCTCTGATGGGTACCATCTCTACATCCACCCAGCTCTGATGGGTACCATCTCTACGTCCACCCAGCTCTGATGGGTACCATCTCTACATCCACCCAGCTCTGATGGGTACCATCTCTAGATCCACCCAGCTCTGATGGGTACCTGACTCACGTTAGGCGACTGGTCATAGCGCTGTTGTTATAAAATGGCCCTATTACTTGTAGATGGTCAGATTACTGAATGAAGATGGCCTGTCTATTGTTATAAACATGGCCCGTTTTATTTGTAGATGACCAAACTACTGGCTGGAGATGGCCTGCCTATTTTAAAATTTCCCGTTTTATTTGTAGACGACCGAACTACTGTTAAAGATACTGGCCGTCTTACCCCTAGAGATGACCAAACTACCATGTTCATATATGACCTACAGTAGTAGGATGTGGCCAGCATGCCTGTGTCTATATTGAGACAACTCATCTAATCTTACGTGTAAGCAATCTGGACGTAAACTTTAAGTTATCTCCCTTTTAAAAAATACTCCTCTCCATCGTGCCATGATAAAAATTGTATTGACATTTGACAAACATGCGATACCTACAGCAAAATGACTTTTCCTGATTGAAAACGAGATTAGTCTGACAACAGAGAAAAAATAAACATATCTATTATAGTGTGGTTGTGGTAAAGAATACGACGTATGGTCTGTTTAACGCGCCTTTTTAACCCCTCCTTAAAGCCCTCACGTTTACTTATATATATATATATATATATATATATATATATATATATATATATATATATATATATATATATATATATATATACATATATATACATATATATATACATATTATTATATACATATATATATATATATATATATATATATATATATATATATATATATATATATATATATATATATATATATATATACGTGTGTGTATTTGTGTGAGCGGGAGAGAATGTGTCAGTGTATATGTGAGTTATAGTACCGGTTGTCACTATACCAAGTAGATATCCTAAAGCATCAGCGATATCAACAAATATAAGCGTCAGCACAATGAAATGTAGGAGATATAAAAGACCGTACGGACTGTCAGTAGTCTCTAAGTCCAACACAGACTAGCACAGACCTTCATTACTTCATGAACAAAGTCTTAGACAGATTATATTACAAAGTGCCTAACATAGACTTATGGAGAAGGACAGGGCAGGAGCCTATGGCAGTGCAATTAAGAAGGAAGTGGCGCTGGGTGGGTCACACACTGTGAAAGGCTGACTCTAATGTTACACGCCATGCACTTGAGTGGAACCCCCAGGGAAAGCAAAAGAAAGGGAGTACAAGACAGACTTGGAGGCGAAGTTTTCATGAAGAATTGAAGCACACAGATATGTCTTTGAAAGTTGCAAAATCAACAGCCGGGCAACGGACTTAATGGAAGCTTATGGCTGAGATCTATGCTCCACAATGAATACAGAGGATTAAGTCAAGTTACGACAGTGCCACCAATGTTGCTATATCTCTCGATGAAGTACCTCGCCTAGATGACTGTCAAGTGGGATCCAGCTACTTTTTATATTACTGTCATGTTTTTATTTCTGTCAAATTTCCTAGTGTCCACAACCTGATGGTTGATACGGGTTGACTGGCAGCTAAACCTTCACACGGGAGTATAACAGTGTGAGTATAGATCGGCAGTGTTTCTTCCAGAATTTTTTCTCGGGGGGGGGGGGGGATCCGGGAGGCGGACACTGGTAAAAGAATGTTATCTATACATTTCGTTCGTGGAGGGGGGGGGGTGGTTAGACTTGCCTGGAAGAAACTCTGTAGATCGGGCTTACCCGTAACTAACCATTACACTTACATTTTAAGTGAAAATTGACATACTTAATTAAACCTTTACCAACAGGGTAATATTAGAGTGTTTTGTTCTCTCCTGTCTGTATTGCCTGCTTGGTCAAGGTTTATGATTGGGTCTATGCAGTTTTCAATGAATAGGTCAGAATTAGGGTTAGGATTAGGACTAGTGTTTAGGACATAACCCCCTAGCAAAATAATATCTTCGAATAACTTGCCCCTGCAGTACGTTAGTTTTAAGTACCACTTTCAGATCAATAACTACGAATTCTACTATTCACATAGTTCAGGATTAACGACAGACTTTCAAGAGAAAACCAGACTAAATAATAGCCTGTGTATTAAATATTCAAGAACGTCTAGAAATAAATAATGTGCTATTCTAATGTCTATCCAACTCCTATACACGGTAGTTAAAACTTTGATAGTGACCAGACGAGTTTGCCTGAAAAGTTCTAATAGTGTTAGGTTGGGTGATTGGGTTACCCATTAGGAGCATCAAGGTGATCTCAAATGTCTAATGACATGTTTTTAAAACACTATTCAACAACAAGGAAGTTATGGTCAATGAACTTAGTTGGGGAGATAATAAATAACGTGTGGTTTGAAGGAGTTGTTTTTTTGTTGACATGCAAGATATTTGAGGTTGGAAACAAAACCTGGTTGGCAAAACAGAGAATAGTTCTAGAAAACCTAGGTAACCTGTATACAAAATTAGCAAGAAAGTAACTATAGTTACGGCGTTAGGGACTTTTGTGATTTTTGTATGTGTATAAATACAAATACTAACCTTAATTCGGGACTATAAGTATGTAATAAAATATGGCTTCGTGTTAAAATGAACGTCTGCCTTTATTCTTCTTTTAAATTTAAACTTTACTGTATAACACATGCTACATCAATTTAAAATTTAGCCTAAAATAAGAGTTTTAGTTTTGTTTTCTTTTCAAGTGCACTTTGGGGAGGGGTGGAGTAAGGATTAAATAATAACAAAAGACGTCGACCAAACTTCCCTACACAGTGTTCTCAGCTTGCGGTTTAGCTGCAAGATACATCAGTATCAGTCTTTCTAAAGCGTCGATTCCTGCTGATTCATTCAGCAAAGCGTTGTGGTTATCGTTCTTAACCACGCTTGTGAGTTCCGGTCCGTCTCTATGGTAACGGCTGCCGGCGTCAGCAAGGGAGTTAAACACAAATTTCTGCTCGTCGACTTCCATTTGGTCTGGCTGCTGCTGATCTGAGGGAGCTAAAGGAGCTAAAGGGAGATGTCCAGATCGTTTCCCGAGCTGGCGGTAGACGCAGCACTCACAGCGTTGTTTGATGTCGGTCTGGTGGCAGGAGGGGCAGGTGCAGGCACTGGCGGCGACCAGCAGGTGCAGGAACATCAGGCCTGGAACAAGAAATAGAGAAACATCAGGCCTGGAACAAGAGTTAGAAGAAAAAAATATTATTGTGAACTGCAATTCATCTTCTTCTTCTTCGTTTTTAGTTTAAAAAAAATATATGTATACATATGTATATATATATATATATATATATATATATATATATATATATATATATATATATATATATATATATATATATATATATATATATATATATATGTATATATATGTATGTGTATATATATGTATGTGTAAATATATGTATGTATGTATATATATATATATATATATATATATATATATATATATATATATATATATATATATATATATATATATATATATATATATATATATATATATATATATATATATATATATATATATATGTGTGTGTGTGTGTGTGTGTGTGTATATGTATATATGTATATATATATATATATGCATGCATAGTGGAATCCCCTACACACCCAATAAGTCAACGCAAACGAACACCAAAGCCCAAAAACTAATTCCGAGTTGAAATAAGTACACGCTCAAAGTATTTTTAACTTGTCAAGGCTATGACAGAATGATATTTTAACATCATTTCTTTACAGTTTTCAAGTTAATTGTATTTTAATAGCTAGTTTTATTTTGAAAGATGAATATAAGAAAAATAATTTAATTGTTGGTTTTATTTTGAAAGATGAGCCTAAGACAAATAATTCAATTATATTTTTATAAATCAAATCTGGCTTTAGAAAATACTAATAATACAATATTTCTATGTTTTTATTTGTATATGTTGATGTAATTATTTCTATTTGAAAATTTAAAAAAAAATTTACAACCATAAAAAAAACAACTTTTGAACGGCACTTTCACGGCAGGAATCAACATAACTATAATTGTTGAAATTCTATCAACCTTTCTACGTTTTGTTTAATCTAAAAACAATTAGAATGATAACAATCGAGAGATAATTTTTTTTCGTTCCAAATTCTAATAAAAAAATATTAATCGCGTTAGTTTTAAGATACTAAATTTTTTATTATTTTAGAACGCGTGTTTAACCTCGTTTTAAACCCTACTCTTTGTTATGTTTTTCTACGCTTCAGAATTAATGAATCACTTTAACTTTAAGTCTTTATATTCTTGAAGCGTAGATAAAAAATAGCAATGAATATGTCATAAAAATGTTATATTTGGCGATTACTTTTTTTAGATACAATTTATCGTAGTTGTTTATCTCAAGGCTATATCCATTAAAAAGTCGTAAACTTAAACGTGTTTTTAAGTGATCTATTTGTGTACTGTGTATCTTATTTCAAGAAAGCAAAATAGTGGGTTTTTTTTAAATTGATTCAAGAATTTGGTAAGCTTCGTTTAATTAATTGCAAAAAAATAATTATCGAAAGCTTAAAAATAACTTTAAAAAGTTGCTTCGAATATTAATCAGTTTGAAAATAAAAACAAAAAAATACAATTATTTGAATAGTTTTCAATCTATAACTTAAAAGCAATTAAACGGTAAGCTTTGAGGATCTGGTTTAGTGAACAACATAAATAAATACAACTATCGAAAACACAATTTAAGACTGAGAAAAATTGTCAGAATATCGTAAAAGCTGTTTTGAAGTCATTAAAGCGTTGGGGTCTTTTATCAACCCCATCTTTTAAGTTCTTTAGATTTAAAATCATACAAAAGAAAACTATTTTCCCGAAATATTTAACACAAATTAAATATTCAAAAATATTTAATATAGTACAGAAAATAATGTTCTTTTGTTTTCAATGTTTCAATTTCTTTGTGAAATAGTTATCAAGCGTATAAATTATTAATAAAATAATTTGAAAGAAAAATGTCATCCTATTGTCTTAACTTAGCCATTTTTACTTTCTCGTATTCGGAGTATAAATAAAAGTATTCTAATCGTGCAGAGAAATCGAAAACGAAATTTCGAAAACTTTTGAGCGATTTCCGGTAACCGGGAGTAGTGTTTTCTCCCTTTTCCGTTTGTAAATACTACTAACGTGAGTACTTTATCAGTTAGGCAGACGGAATGTCGTAGATAATTATTAGATCGTAACTTCGGCTTCTTTCAACCTCTGAACGATCCCCGGTAACCAGAAATGGTACTTTATTAATAGTTTCTCAAAAACCTTCAGAATTTGAAAAAAAAACGTTTCGCCTGTGTTTTCTCGAAAAACGAGTGGTTTTGTCACAAACTGATATATATATATATATATATATATATATATATATATATATATATATATATATATATATATATATATATATATATATATATATATATATATATATATATATATATATATATATATATATATATATACATATATATATATATATATATGTATATATATATATATATATATATATATATATATATATATATATATATATATATATATATATATATATATATATATATATATATATATATATATATATATATATATATATATACGAATAAGTTTAGGAATTTTAACTCCTGTTTTTAACTGTAGCTGTTGCCTAGGTGATAAATATTAAAGTTTTGCAACGATTTTAAGATTCTGTTAACGAATTTGTAACAAAAATAAGTTGCTAAGCACTGTCAAACTCGTATCTACACTTAAGTGGTATTCTCTGTTGGAAATCAACTCAAACGAAACAACTCTCTCTGTGTGGGCTTATTGTTAACAGCGATGTGATTAGCAAACCGTGGGTTTTTTATTTCAAAATCCCACCTACACGTGGTAATGGATATGTCTAATTACATTTGTAGAAAACTCTCAGAGCAGGGGGGGGGGGGGAATGTGATAAATAATATGGTCAGATAATGTCAATGGTCGAACACCGTCGCGAGTATCGACAGGAGTGTTTCTTTCAGACATGTTACATTTTTTCCCCGTGGGGAGGGGAGGGGGGTTGAAACTTACGGGTGGGGGGGGATGGGGACGGACTTAAATTCTCGGGTGGGGCGGACGCTAGTTAAAGTAGTATATATATATATATATATATATATATATATATATATATATATATATATATATATATATATATATATATATATATATATATAATATACATTCTATTTTGTTCGGGGAAAGGGTGGGGGGGGGGGGCGGTAGACATGCCACGGAGAGTCGGCGATGGCCCACTCCTTCAAACTCCCCCCCCCCCCCGTGGGTATAGATGCTTGAAAGAAACTCCGATTGACAGTAAAGAGGTTGGCAAAAATATCACACCTATAATTATACAGTAACTATATATCTATATGTCTAATTATTCAGTAACTATAGATCTATGTCTAATTATACAGTAACTATATATCTATATGTCTAATTATACAGTAACTATAGATCTATATGTGTGTGTGTGTTGGTTACATGTCTACGTGTGTGAGTGCGCGTATGTGCGAGCGTGCAGATAAGTGAGTGTGTGAGTGCATGTGTGGGTGTGTTTATGTTTGTGAATGAGTTAGAATATGTGTGTTTGTATATGTGTGCGAGTGTGCATATGCGTGAGCGAGTGCGAGTATGTGTGTGTATGTGTGTGCGAGTGTGCATGGGTATGAGTGAGTGAGAGTATGTGTGCGAGTGTGTATGTGTGTAAATGCGAGTATGTGTATGTGCACGCACGTTTTGTATGCCTCAGATAACACAGATTTAAATAAGACTACAAAATGTAAGTTTTTTATTTAATTTATATACAAAAAAAAAACCGCAACGAAATATGCAACCCCATACATAGGTCACATCTGAAACATGATGACTCAACGTGTGGGCGAGATGACTTTTTTAAACTAAAACTTTTCTCAAAGTTTATCTAAATTATGTGTTTTTTTTCTTTTATCTAAATAATTACTTCCCTCTTTTAACTTAAAAATAAAATCCTGCAGTTTTTCACACTACCCGCCATCTTTAAAATTCCAAAACTCGCTTAACTGATTTCAGGCTGACGTACTAGAAAGACGAGCTTCGTATTTATGCAATCGGACACTAGAAAATATATCCTTGTATATAGGTGACTAGGGCAAGATTGGAAATATATTTTTGTACAGACGGTGTTAAATTGATGTATTTCTTCGCATATATTTTGTAGGTGTCAAAGAAAGGTGAAGCTGACCTTATTGACAAAGTTACCGCGGATTAGATTTGTTTTGCATGTCCTGAAATAAATCTGGAATTCCAGGGAAAGATGAAACATAAAACTCAGAATCATCTTACACGTAGCCACATTTTTTAGTATCATAGTTAAGACGTAGTCCGTATAATAAGCTGAAGATTAATAATAATAAAAAAAAATACCCCGTTAAGATTTGAGCATTAAAAATGCATTGGATATTTGAGCTTGTATATTTACGCAGCGGGGAGGGGAAAGGGGGGGGGGGGATACTGAGGTTTTGGGTTCAGATATATTTATGTGTATAGACGAATTGTGAAGCTACATCTGACACACTTTTGTTATATCGCAAAATATTAAGACTAAGATACTAACAAATGTAGCCAAATCCCCGACTTAAGATTTGTTTTCTCGGAGAACAAAGAGAGTGGAGAAGATATTAGATAGTCAGTGGACAGTCGTTGATTGGTAGAATTGGACTGGCCTTGAGTGGACTGGCCTTGGATGAACTGGCCTTGGGTGGACTGGCCTTGGGTAGACTGGCCTTGGATGGACTGGCCTTGGATGGACTGGCCTTGGGTGGAATGGTCTTGAGTGGACTGGCCTTGGGTGGATTGGCCTTGGGTGGACTGGCCTTGAGTGGACTGGCCTTGGGTGGACTGGCCTTGGGTGGACTGGCCTTGGGTGGACTGGCCTTGGATGGACTGGTCTTGGGTGGACTGGCCTTGGGTGGACTGGCCTTGGGTAGACTGGCCTTGGGTGGACTGGCCTTGGGTGGACTGGCCTTGAATGGACTGGCCTTGGGTGGACTGGCCTTGGGTGGACTGGCCTTGGATGGACTGGCCTTGGGTGGACTGGCCTTGGGTGGACTGGCCTTGGATGGACTGGCCATAGTAGACTGGCCTTGAGTGGACTGGCCTTGGGTGGACTGGCGTTGGGTGGACTGGCCTTGGGTGGACTGGCCTTGGGTGGACTGGCCTTGGGTGGACTGGCCTTGAGTGGACTGGCCTTGGGTGGACTGGCCTTGGGTGGACTGGCCTTGGATGGACTGGCCTTGGATGGACTGGCCTTGGGTGGACTGGCCTTGGGTGGACTGGCCTTGGGTTAACTGGCCTTGGGTGGACTGGCCTTGGATGGACTGGCCATAGTAGACTGGCCTTGGGTGGACTGACCTTGGGTGGACTGGCCTTGGGTAGACTGGCCTTGGATGGACTGGCCATAGTAGACTGGCCTTGGGTGGACTGGCCTTGGGTGGACTGGCCTTGGATGGACTGGCCTTGGGTGGACTGGCCTTGGATGGACTGGCCTTGGGTGGACTGGCCTTGGGTGGACTGTCCTTGGGTGGACTGGCCTTGGGTGGACTGGCCTTGGATAAACTGGCCTTGGGTGGACTGGCCTTGGGTGGACTGGCCTTGGGTTGACTGGCCTTGGGTGGACTGGCCTTGGGTGGACTGGCCTTGGGTGGACTGGACTTGGGTGGACTGGCCTTGGATGGACTGGCCATAATAGACTGGCCTTGGGTGGACTGGCCTTGGGTGGACTGGCCTTGGATGGACTGGCCATAATAGACTGGCCTTGGGTGGACTGGCCTTGGGTGGACTGGCCTTGGGTGAACTGGCCTTGGGTGGACTGGCCTTGGGTAGACTGGCCTTGGGTGGACTGGCCTTGGGTGGACTGGCCTTGAGTGGACTGGCCTTGGGTGGACTGGCCTTGGGTTGACTGGCCATGGGTGGACTGGCCTTGGGTGGACTGGCCTTGGATGGACTGGCCATAATAGACTGGCCTTGGGTGGACTGGCCTTGGATGGACTGGCCATAATAGACAGGCCTTGGGTGGACTGGCCTTGGATGGACTGGCCATAATAGACTGGCCTTGGGTGGACTGGCCTTGAGTGGACTGGCCTTGGGTGGACTGGCCTTGGGTGGACTGGCCTTGGATGGACTGGCCTTGGATGGACTGGCCTTGGGTGGACTGGCCTTGGGTGGACTGGCTTTGGGTGGACTGACCTTGAGTGGACTGGCCTTAGAAGAATTGCTGGCCTTGAGTGGATTTGCTTTGGAAGAATTGCTGGCCTTGGGTGGACTGGCCTTGTGTGGATTTGCCTTGGGTGGACTGGCCTTGTGTGGATTGGCCTTGGCTGGACCGGCCTTGGTAGAATTGGACTGGCCTTTAGTGGACTAACCTTGAGTGGAAGAATTGGACTGGGCTTGAGTGAATTCTTGAAGTGGTTGATTTTCCTGAAATTCCTGAAGTGGTCGAATTTCGATATTTCTTCTAGAAATTCCTGAAGTAGTTGATTCTCGAAATTTCTTCTAGAAATTCCTGAAGTGGTGAACTGTAGTATCACCAATTCCCGCTCGTTCTTGTGGTTCATTTCTTGAAAAGTTGTTGAACAGGGCACTTTTGCTGTTAAGGGGAGATTCGTTATGTGAAACATTCGCTAAACGAGGTGTTCGTTCTATGAGACGGGTTCGTTGTACTTGACGTTTTGCTGTCACCTGGAGATTTGGACTGCGGCACTGTGCGGAACACAACTGCCCGCACGCAAACACACACACACACACACACAGACACAAGTTCGTAGAAACACACAACAAGTGTGTTTTGGGGGGGGGGGGGGGTGGGGGGGTGGGTTGGTTTTAGTTTAGAGAAAAGAGACAGTACTATCAACCTAGCGCCCGGTGTATCCTTCCTCAACGGGCCATTTTTCTCGTTCTATATAATAGTTTCGCTGTCTGTCTATCTATCTATCTATCTATCTATCTATCTATCTATCTGTCTGACAAGAACGCTCTAGAGAAAAGACAAGCAATTTAAAAACATGCATAGTAATTCGAAAAACGAAGTATGACGTCGACACATTTAGCATAGAGTAGAAAATAATCTCAAACCCAGAGAGTGCTCACAGTTATATGACGTCATTGATTTTCGCGCTAACATTGAATAAAAAGGAAATGTTGTCTAATCTAAATGGTTTGCGTGAAGAGTTTCTTGCATACAGTTCTTCGTGTAGGGGCGAAGCTCCACCCCCCGCGTAAGAACGTCTGAGCCCCCCCCCCCCTCCCCAACTCAAAAGAAATTTCTTCATCGATACTCTATAATAAAATTACCGCCTAATTAATGTGTCTAATCTAAAAAGTGGTTTTCTCGCAATTTCTTTAATGCAATTCTTCGCGTAGTGGCTAAGCGCGACACCAGTGTTTCTTTCAGACTTTTTCCTCCCCGGAGAGCGGTGGGGGTACTTGAAATTTTCGGGGGCGGGGGTAAAATTTTCGGGGAGGGGGCGGACACTGGAAAAAGTATATAATTATATTTCGTTGAATGGGACGGTAGACATGTTTTTTTGGGGGGTGGGGTGGGGGTGGGGTGGGGGTGGGGGGGGGGGTGTGGGGTGGGTGTGTGGTGCGGGGGTGGGGGTGGGGGGTGGTGTGTGTGTGTGGGGGGGGTGGGTTGGTTTTAGTTTAGAGAAAAGAGACAGCACTATCAACCTAGCGCCCGGTGTATCCTTCCTCAACGGGCCATTTTTCTCGTCTATAATAATAGTTTCGCTGTCTGTCTATCTATCTATCTATCTATCTATCTATCTATCTATCTATCTATCTATCTATCTATCTATCTATCTATCTATCTATCTATCTATCTATCTATCTATCTATCTATCTATCTGTCTGACAAGAACGCTCTAGAGAAAAGACAAGCAATTTAAAAACATGCATAGTAATTCGAAAAACGAAGTATGACGTCGACACATTTAGCGCACAGAGTAGAAAATAATCTCACAGTAATATAATGACGTCATTGATTCTGGCGTAAATATTGAATAAAGAGGAAATGTTGTCTAATCTAAGTGGTTTGCGTGAAGAGTTTCTTGCATACAATTCTTCGGGTAGGGGCGAAGCCCCACCCCCCGCGTAAGAACGTCTGAGCCCCTCCCCCTCCCCAACTCAAAAGAAATTTCCTCATCGATACTCTATAATAAAATTACCGCCTAATTAATGTGTCTAATCTAAAAAGTGGTTTTCTTGCAATGGGACGGTAGACATGATTTTTTTTTGGGGGGGGGGGGGGGTGGAGGGGTTGGGGGGGGGGGGGAGTGTGTGTGGGGGGGGGGTGGTGTGTGTGGGTGGGGGGGGGTGGGTTGGTTTCAGTGTTTCTTTCAGACTTTTTCCTCCCCGGAGAGGGGTGGGGGTACTTGAAATTTTCGGAGGCGGGGGTTGAATTTTCTGGGAGGGGGCGGACACTGGAAAAAGTATATAATTATATTTCGTTGAATGGGACGGTAGACATGTTTTTTTGGGGGTGGGGGGTGGTGGAGGGGTGGGGGTGGGGGGTGGTGTGTGGGGGGGTGGTGTGTGGGGGTGAGGGGTGGGGGTGGGGGTGGTGGGGGGGTGGGGGTGGGGGTGGTGTGTGGGGGTGGGGGGTGGTGTGTGGGGGGGTGGGTTGGTTTTAGTTTAGAGAAAAGAGACAGCACTATCAGCCTAGCGCCCGTTGTACCCTTCCTCAACGGGCCATTTTTCTCGTTACCTTATATTAGCTGTTTAAAAACATTAAGAGATATTCTTTCTTGATTGTTTTTTTTATCGGATAAAAAAACAGTAATCTCCATGCTAGGGGAGACGACTGAATACAAATACATAGAGTCTTGCAGCATTAGTTTCCCCTGTATGTATTCGTTTTATTTATCTTCTTCATTTAAAAAAAAAGAGAGAGAGAGATGTTGTTGTTGAAGTATTAATAGTTTTTAATTAATTACTTCTCGTAGTTAAATTGGGAAACTAATTGAAATTCACACGCAGTTCACCTTGGTCCGACGACTTTGCACACGTTAAGCCGTTTAAAAAAAAAAATTAGACACACAAACCTTTATGATAAAAAGCTTTTAAATGTACTGATAACAAGAAAATAAAAATAGTTCTAAAAAAGCTGATCGCTCATGAGTTCTGCGACAAGACCAAATCTTTTATCAAAGAAAATAAAATAGTTCATCTGTTTCTATGACCTAGACATACATGAGTATAGTGTGATCAGTCGCCTTTTTTTCCCCATTAGACCTGGGTGGACTCGAACACGGGATCCGAACTCAAGACTCTCAGGTTGGCAGTGGTGAGCTCTACCATTCAACCACACCTTTCCACCCATACATGTGTCATAAAAATAGGAATTAAATAATGAAAATTTAGTTTGGATCTATATTCATATAGCCAATGTAGTAAATTGAATTGATAAAATATTAATTTCTGAAATAAACGAAATATTACGTACATTACCCGATATCTCTAATTTTCATTTCCATAACTCATTAACTCAATTAAAATTCAATGATGTGTTTGACCTTCTTTGTTGACCTGAAATGATATTTCACTCCGAGTCTACTTACATATGTATCACAAACCTAACGCTATTAAAACTATAAACTAAGTACCGAGAAATTCCTTAGAGACTCGGAAACTCTAGTAGAAAAGTATCTTTCACTTTTCGTTGATCCCAAGCTGAACACGACACCATTTCAAA